TCTCTCTCTCTCTCTTCTCTCTCTCCCTATTCCATTCTCTGTTTTGAATTCTCATCTAGAGTAGATCTGATCTTAGTCTCTACTAGACAAGTTGGTATTAGAGCCAACCTAGGGTTTCTCATGAGAGTCTAATCAGGTCGACTGCATGAGAACTTCCTAGGGTTGGAAGTTTTAGCAAGATTTGGCAATTGGCTGGTTCTTGGAGATCATTGGCAGAGTGCAACACCTTTTCAAGAGATATTTGGAGTCTTGGAAAGAGTCTAGTGATCAGGAAGAATCAGAGAGAAGGAAAGAAACACAAGATTAGGGTTCAGACTGAGGATTGTAAGTGGCGGCCAGTGTTTTCTGGGTAAGTTTCAATCTTTTCTTGAGATTGACTCCAATCAAGAATTGATCAGAGTGATCTGGGAGGAGCGGTTGCTCTTTTCTGATTTCTCCTGAATTTTTTTAGGGTTTTCTTCAGTTCTTTTAAAACTCTATTAGTCTGAAACCCTATTGACTGTGATCAAGTTCTGGGTAAGGATTGATCCTTTTCAGCATTCCAGATTGGTTGGTAATGAGTTTTTGAAGATTATTAGACCTGTTTCAGATTTTCTAGGTGTTTGCTTGACCCCTTTCATCTTCCCAATTCGGCTGTTAACAGTTTTAGGGTATCATTTACCTTTATTTAGCATAAAAACCAGTTCTTTGTAAAAAAATTCTTGGTAGAGATGGCAGGAACTGAGTTGAAAACTCCAGGGGAAGGTGTTTTTGGGACTGGAAACATGACTGGAAATACTTTTCAGATTACCACAGTGAAGTTTGATGGATCAAATTACTTGGAGTGGGCCCAATCAGCCATGATGGCTATTGGGGGTAGAGGGAAATTAGGCTATGTGATGGGAGATGTGAAGAAACCAGCCAAGGAAGACCCATTATATGCCAAATGGATTCAGGAGAACTATTTGGTCATGACTTGGCTGTGCAATTCCATGCAGCCTCATATAAGCCGAAATTACTTGTGGGCCAAAACTGCCAAGGAAATTTGGGACATCATGAGAGAAACCTATTCTCAATCACTTAATGTCGCTAGGACCTATGAACTGAAATGTGAAGTCAATAATCTTAAGCAAGGAGACAAACCGGTCTTATTTTACTTCTCTACTTTGAACTCTTTGTGGCATGAAATTGAACATCTGGAGACAATTGAGTGGGAAAGCCAGGATGCATAGACATACAAGAAACAGGTTGAAACCAATAGAGTTTTTGAATTCCTAGCAGGTCTAAACCCAGAATATGACATTGTGAGGCAACAACTCCTCACTAGAGAGAGTGTGACCTTGTCTCAAGCTTATTCCTTTGTGCATAGTGAAGAAAGTAGGAGAAAGGTTATGCTACAATATCAGCCTATGGAATCAGCCCTAACAGCAGTAAAAGCGAAGTTTGGGGGTGACAAGGAAAGGGATATGAAGAAAGAGGACAAGGACTTAGTTTGTGATTATTGCAAGAAACCGAAGCATACCAAGGACACATGTTGGAAACTCTATCCGCATCTAATTCCAACAAAGCTCAGAAACAAAAAGGGGAACGCCAATGTGGTAACTATTACCGATGGTTCTTCATCCTCTAGCACAARAACCACACCCCTGGACACCTTGGCTGCTGTCCGAGTTGCCCTAACTCAGTTGGAAAATGAAGTTGGCACTTCAGCACTCTCATCTTAGCCACTAGCTACATCTGCTCCTTCCACTTCTGCATTTGCTCATTCAGGTACAAGGGCTTCAACATATCATGCTTCAACCCTAGGTAACAACAAACCTTGTTGGGTTATAGATTCAGGTGCATCTGACCATATGACTGGCTTATGGTCATGGAGGAAGATGAGCCATCAACCAAGGTAACAGTTTGGGATGTGGAGGGAGGAAACATAGACAAACATGTTTGGGGATCTAGCCATATCGTCTGAGGCTACAGAATCAATTACCTAGGGTGAAATTTAGAATTGGAAGCAAGATTAGCTGTACCTAATTTCACAAAGGTAGTGGTGGAAGTACCAAAAGTAGATTGGTATTCACAAAAAAAAAGTAGATTGGTAAAGCCTTTCATACCTATCCTCACAAAGGTAGTAGTGGAAGTACCACGTGTGATGGAGATTGTTTCTTTGTCCTTACCAACACTGGCAGACATATCCTCAATGATGCTACGACTACCAAGATCATCTTCTATAAAAGAATGGTTAGCCTAAGTGGATAGTAGGGCATACAAGTCACAAAAGAAGTTAATTGTGGGGACCCTTTCTACAACAATGTGAATATTCATGAATTGAAGCACGTCTACCACCTACTTCTCTTCCCCCACGGCCCCACCACAACCACCCCTAGGCCGAGTCAAAACCTCTTGTAACACCTCCACCTTGGCCTCTTGCTCGGCCTACAAAAGTTCCTCTGGAACTACTAAGGCTGACCTATTTGAGATAGGGACATGGTCGCCATGAGGAATTGAAACTCTCCTTATCTAGGAGAAACTTTAGATAAGGGTGAGAGAAATTGCTGCCCCAAAATTTGAGCCCTCACTGGTTCAAATATAGACCTCAAATTTGATAGAAATCTTGCAACATCAAGATGACCCCTCCGTTTTTGTTGTACCTTCAAGTAAGTGGATAGGGACTGATAGACATTAAGCTCATTCCTTAAGTTTTTCAAGGAAGCATAGTACTCTTCAACACTTTTATCCCCTTGTTGGAAAGAGAAATAGTTTTGGTACAACAGATATATTCTTGTGACATTGTTTTGTCTGGAATAGTGTTGCTTAGCATGTATCTAAATCTCCTAAGCTGTGTCTAAGAACATAGGATTCACATTGATATGGTTTGATATACTATTCCATAAGGCAGTCATGATTTGGGCATTCTCTTGTACCCACTCATATTCTTCTAATCCACTCTTCAACAGACCTTCCTTAATGTACTTCAACTTACCTCTTCCAATGAGTGACACCTCAACTGGCTTAACCCATGGTATATAATTGGTGCCATTGTGTTTTATTATGGTGAACTGTGAATTCATTAGTTCTGATTGTACCACAACTGTAGGTTTAGAGATACCACTTGATGAGGCAATAGGAAAAGAAAAAGGTTATTGATATACTATTCAAACAATCTGTCAAACAGGTGCTGTACACCTACTTTAGCACAAGTTATAGGTCAAGAAAACACTAAAATGTCACTACTCTTTTACTTGAACACAAAGGGAGCTTCACACACTTACCAATGGTCTAACAATACACTACAAATCACCACACACTCACTACATTGAAGATTAAAGATAGTTGCACCTACGGCATCCACAAAACTGCCCCTCTTTGAACTGCTGAGTAGAGGGAACATAGAAAACCGTCACCAGCTCACAAACTGCCACAACTTGAGGCATCAAATCCTCTTTTCCTAAGGGACGATCAGTCCTTTTGTTCCTCTTTCTCCTCCTACAAAGAGTAGAGAAAGTTCTCTACTTCTAGGGCACAAAAGAATGATGTGTGAACAGTACCAGCCGATTGCTCAGTGCTTTGATACCACGTGCCAACCTGAAAAGTAAAAGATAAAACAATGGAAAAATAAGAAAGAGGAAGAAAAGAAAGGAAAGGGAGGAGAAACAGTAGAGAGAAAGAATAGAGAGAAAGAGGGGATGCCCCCAGTAGCATAATCTGAAGATAGAATAGAAGAAATAACAGTGAAAAAGACAAATCTGCCCCTTCCGACCAACTTTAACACACTCCAAAGAGCCTTATTCTTCACTAAAGAGTGGCATCAATCTCATATGAACACTTAAAGAAATGTCCCTTTGGGCCAAAGATACCATGAGTAGAATTGTATAATAGGTAAAACTATAAAGTAGTTTAACTGCAGCAGGTAAAGCTATGCAATAGGCGATCTCTTTTCAGTCCCTCCTTTCACACTCTCCCTCAAATTGATATATGGAATTCCTTAGCCCATCATTGGTTTGACAGAAAATAAAGAGGGAAACAGCCTTAGGTAACAAGATGTTCATTTTGATTGTGTCATGGATTTGGTAAGTATGTTAGCTAGCTGGATGGCAGAAGCTATGTGAGGAAAAGTGATGGTGCCAGCAAGGAACTGGTTCCCAATAAGATGGAAATGAAGCTCAAGATGTTTTATTCATTCTTGAAAGAATAGATTGAAGACAATGCATGGCACTTATGTTATCAGCATACGTCAGTGTAAGGTTGGAGACTGCCAGACCAAAATCTTGAAGAAGAGCCATTACCAAATAATCTTGTCATTGTTTTGAAGCCAAGGTGCTAGGATCTTTTGATGTGTGAGGCATAAACCTTAAGGCAGGTCCAAGCCTTGTGACATCTCATTATTTCAAGAAATCATGAACTAAAAGGAGAAAAAAGTGTTGAACTATGCAGAGGTCTATTATTTTTATATGGGAAAAATGTATAGATGAGTGACTTGTCATATAAAAAAGGACTACAGTAGTAAGATTTTTCTTACTAGTCCATTTGTAAGCTCTTAATGTAAATTAAAACCAACACAAACTCGGAAATCTTATAATTGCTCTTTAAATTGTTTTGGTGGTGAGAACCTTACTCCAATTAATGTATGAAATACGTGTTCTTGACATATGGTACAAAGTGTGGTTCATGTGCATTGCATTTTTTGTGAGTTTGAGTGAACATACACCCAAGAATGTGTCTCTGTTTTTAGCTGACGTGGCATTTTGTAAAAATAAGAAAACAAAACATTTGTGTTGAACTCTGCCAATGTGTGTAAAGTTGGAGGATAAACATTTTCATTTGTCCCAGTACATGTCAAGTCCAAAAGGAAAAGAAAGGAAATAATAGAAATTTTTTTGTATTCAAATTTGTTATCGATTTATTAGACAACTTTTTAACAGTTTTTTTTTTTTGCTCATGAGTCATGACATAAAATACCTGTGAGTCTTGGGTTTCACCTTTCTGATATTAATTTTCTATGTTTTCTATGGATATTCTATTTCTAGGATCCCTATTATAGGGGGAAAGGAGCTAGACTTGCATCGACTCTTTGTGGAGGTGACTTCAAGAGGCGGGATTGAGAAGGTTAGAAGAAATGGTTTACTATTGTTTATTTCTCCCCTTAATTATTCTAATCATGATATATGTTGTGGATGACATGTGTGAGAACTCCAAAGCTGTTGGTATTTTTTTTGATAAATGGTTAAAACTCTATTAAAAGGAGGAAATCATTCYTCAAAACAGGATACAAAGGCCACATAAGCCACAAATAAAATGTCAAGCAAAGCATATAATGTGAACAGCCCACAGATATATCATTATGGCAATGTGTTAAAGGAGTCATCCCATAAGATTTGATGCCAATGAGTTGACAGGGAGGAAAACTGCAAGCCTGTGAATTCCTTGTGAGTGCTCACCCACTGGAAAAGAGACCAGTCCGTTCTTCTTAGAACAGCTTCCAGTGCGGAGGTTTTTGCATTGAACACTCTCTCATTGCACTCTTTCCACAGGAATCAGCTTCCAAAAGGGTGGTCCCTCTTTTGCTAAAAGCCTTACACCTCCATGCTGCAAATAGAGACTCTACATTATACATCTTTGGGAAGAGCTGTGCTTACCCCGAACAACTTGAGGAAATGTATTCATGCACAGAAAGAAAACTTGCAAAGCATTAACAAATACTGCATTGATTCCTCAATCCTCATCAAGGCCACAAAGCTTGCATTGGTTGGGAATGATCATCCCTCTCAAATGAAGATTGTTAGCTGTGAAAATTCTGTCTAAGATAGCAGTCCGCAGAAAAAAAGATGGTTCTGGATGGAGCTGTGGTTGACCAGATCCTGCACCAATCCTTGGGAGGGCCCACCTGGCTATTCAGCTTGTTGAAAAAAGATTTAACTGTAAAGGAGCAATTGCTGGAATCCACCCACTGGATCTGATCATCACTTTTTGGCCTGATTTGGATTTGTGGTATGGTGTTGAGGAGACTTAAATCTCAGCCTCTTCCCAATCTTGAATGTTTCTGCACAAGCTGGGAGACCAAACTGCATTACCCACAAGGGCTGCAATCAGTGCATACTTTTTCTTGATTGTTACATCCTTGTTCACAGCCAAATTAAAAATCTGAGGGTGGGATAAACTTAGAGGAGAGCTGCACCTTTTTTCTTTCCAATATAGGATGTGTTCTCCATATCCTGCTGTGAAATTTATGTTCTGCAGGAATTCCTCCTTGAGTTTCATTATCCCTTTCCATATGCTTGTCCCATAAGAATCATTGACTGCATCAGTGGTCCAGTCAGCATTTCCATATTTGCATTGAATGATTCTCCTGTGGAGTTCATTCCTCTGCATACTATATACCATCACCATTTTCCCAAGAGGGCTTTATTCATCTTCTGGAGGGGTTTTAGGTAATACCCCCTCTCATTATTGGCCTACAAACCTACTTCCATGCCACAAGGTGAACTTTTTTCATCATTAACATCATACTACAATGCCATGACTTCCTAGGCCACTAAATGGGCTGACTGGAATACCTTATCATGTCTTAAATTTGCATGTTGGGGGATTGTATTGTGATTCATGATATCATATGATATATAAGTTAACTTCGAGTGAAAATTAAGGATTTCAGACCATGGGTCACGATTTCGATATTGATGGACATTTCGCCATGTATAGATGGGGAAATTTTAAATACTAGTGGGGTACCCCGAGGCTACTCAGCTTCTGTACTGTTTCTCATCTTAATTTTCTTAATGAAATTACCATTACTGATAAAAAATTGGGATATTTCACCAAGTTTACTAAGACATTTGGAAAGTCTAAAAAATCAGAAAATTTTCTTGAAACATGAAATTAGTTAATAAACCTTCAAGCAATCATTAGAAGAAGTATAACTGCATATTAAAGCACTAAAAAACCATAACAAACAATTGTATAGATCAAATAAAAGAATATTGAGAGACTTAAATAGGCTCTTTCTCTTTGTCGCCCTTTTATTCTTTGTCATATTCTCTTCATTACATATGTCATTTATGTCATTTACTTGCCAATTTAACTTGTCCGTTTTATATTACTATATGTTTTGATTAGATTTAGAACCCTCTTTGGTAGTTGTATGCATTTTTTTTTTCTTTTGAATTATAGTGACTTTGTGAGTCCTATCAAAATAATAAACCAATCATTCAATCACTAATTCACCATTGGTTCTTTTAGGAAAATATTTTTTAAAAATATGATGATTTTAATGAAATATAAAAAAAAATTTAATAACATTCTAGAATTTAAACCAGAAATTTATAGACTATCAATGGAATCTGAAATATCACTGACATATTGGAAAATATTGGAGATATTAGGAAAAAAAGATTCTTGGAAATTTCATATCTCCATCTAATGGGGAGAGTTTGGGGAGCTTTACAAAATCCTGCAGATATATATTTTCTTTTTTGATAGATAATCCTGCAGATATTTATAACCAAGTATTTTTGTTTGAGGACTAGCCCTAGCACATTCATGGATCTTATCAAGTCTTGATTTTAAAACATGAAAAATTGTAGTAGCTTAGACCAAATGATATAATACTCTATCAAGAATTCAAGATCTATATCTTCTGCCTGGTTGTAAAAGCACACATCTTTGGAATTGTCTGTGATCTTTTAGAGCCGTAGACTAGCATCAAGTAACCCTTTTTTCTGGTGTCATTGTCATCCATTCAAGTAACTCCTTTTTCCTGGTCGCCGCACATCTTTGGTATAATCATTTTATAAACTCCTTTTTCCTGGTGCATTCTTTTTAGAGCCAAAGACTGGCATTAAGTAACTTCTAGTTCATGGTATAAACATAGCATGTAGGATGGATATGCTGGTTGCCATAGGAAGTCAATGCCAGCCTCAATAGTGAATACAAATTCATGTGTCGAAACATTAATTTGTCAGCCACATTCTTGTTCTCTTGAGATCCTCTTTGAGAATGTATGGAAAGAGTTTAGACAATATAAACAGAATTTAATGGTCAGGATTCAAAGGAAGTTCAATTAATAATTCTAACAATCAACTTGATTTGTCAAATTGCTCTTCCAGAAAGACTGAAAAAACCAAAACAAATAACTCCCTAAATGCTATGTCCAAACAAAGGAAACTTTGTCATGGGATGGTTTCACTCCAATCTATTGTATACTCTCAAGCTCTAGGAAGGCTATCAATAAAAATTGAACAATCTTGAAGACTAGCCAAACATAACTGATAATCTGCAACCCTTGGAATGTCCAAAGATGACATCAACCTCAATGCTTGTAACTTGTAAGAACACAATGTACAATTCAGGCATCATGCTCCATACAACATGAATAAACTAGCACCTCCTTATACCTGATTGACACAGATTCATCTAACATTAGCAGCGGTAGTTTCTGTGTCATCACATTTGTCCTTGTGGCTCAATTTGGAAGGAGTACAAATACAGAAATGTACAGTACAAATACATTCAAAATAATACAAAATACAAAGTTTTAAATTCTATATATTTGTATTTGTACTTTTTCCAAACTAAGCCTATGAAAAAAAAGGTGGAACCTGACAAACCTAACCAAATTGTCCAACAGTAGATGAATTGAGAAAACCTAAAGGATGCTAAGGTGTATTTGTAATTGAAAGTTCAATTGATTTGGTAAAGGTTGTGAACATAGAGGTCAAAGTGAGCAAGTCACTGGATTTATTTATTTAGGGGTAGATGAATTCGCTAGGAAGAAATTTAAAGAATAGGAAGAGAAATATCCAATGCCTTTGAGAAGATTGATGCAGGCCCTGATGAAAACTTTTCAAAGTTGAAGACAGTCATGATGGGTAGAGATCAATTGGACTTGCAAGAGATGTCAATCAAAAGGGTGAAGATTTGTGAGGAAAGCTTTTTTGGAGGTGGAGAGGGGTGAGGAGGTTAAGTTTGGATGATCTTGGTTTAAGTAGGAAGTGTTAGGTTGAGTGTTGTACATTGAGGTTGGATGGGTTTGGTACTTTGGTGAAAGGTTGAAGGGGTGGAGTTTTGTTTGATTTCGCAGAGAAGTATGCTCTCAGGTTTGTTTGGCTTAATGCTGAGTAGATACCCGAATTTTTGGTTTTTTGTCTTCTTTTGGTCCTTTGGTGGGAGTTGGCTGTCTTTTGTAGGGGTTGAATTCTTTGTGTTTGGGGTTGGTTCTTTTGTGTTTGTTTCTTTTTTCCTGTGGTTCAACTTGGTGATATTTCGTCACTGGTTGATGTATGCTGCTGCTCTTTTAATAATTTTGTTCTTTATTTATATTCAAAAAAAGTGAAGATTTGGGTGTGGATCAGTGTTTTGAGAAGAACATGTTTTTGGAATTGGAAAGGATTAATGATGTGTCAAAGGATGTGATGGAGCTAAGGAAGGCTACTCTTGCAGTAAGAAGATTCAGAAGTCAAAGAAATCATTGTAATATCTTGGTGTCAAATGTTTTCACTAGGTTAAAAGGGGGTCTATTTGGGATTTGTACCAAACAAGGTGATGAGATCCAGGAAAGTCTTAAAGAAGAAATAGAGAGATCTTGTTATGTTATTTCTTTTTGGGTTGTTGGATTGGCAGCATTTGTTGGGGTTCTGTTTTCTTTGTTTCTTCTAAGTGTGGTTGGTTTTGTTTGAGCCTGTTGCTTTGAAGACTGATTATTTGGGGCTTAGGTTGCTTGGATCTGGTTGCTTGTTGTCTATTTWTTTTTTGTCAGAGTTTGGTTTTTGGTGTTTCTTCTTGTTTGGTTGGTTTTTGGTTTGGAGTTCCCTCCGGTGACTTTGGGTCACCTTCTTTGTAATTTTCTTTTTTATGTTAATAAGTGTTAGAGCTAGCTGAATAAGGGTAGATTAGTCATTTTATTTCTGTTAAGTTATATGCTTATGTGGCAGTCTTAATAGTGACTTCCTGTCCCATACTTAAGTGGGGGCAGTTTAGTCTTTGTACTACTAATTAGAGGCTAATCCATATTAAGGGTCAACTGATAGGGTTTATCCTATCATGTTTGACTGTTCTCTTCATCTTCTTCTTTTCTCCTGGTTCGAACTACTGTAGCTACAGAACAAACATTC